AACTGAAATGGATAAACAAAGAACGCTTTTAATGCTGCTAATTTACCAGGTCAGAATATAAACTACTAGGACAGCTGTGAGCGTGCGCAGTAGATACATGTACTGTGCGTGCGCAAAATTTTGACAATGAAAGTGAAGGATATTTCAAAATTTAGAACAGTTGTTCGAAAGATATAAGACACTACGCAGGGGTTAGACTGTTCCGTTAAACAACTGTTCGAACAATTTAAGCAAGTGAAGCCATATAATTGATTGTTCATCCATTTTAGTTTTGAGGTCATTGGTTCTAACCAAACATGGAGGTAAGAAAATGATTACTGAATACTAATATTCTTCAGACAGAAGGAAAATTCCAGCAAGATCCGGTAACATGCCAACAATCCATTGAAATTGAGTGAAAAAAAAATAAGCAAGAGAATTGAAGTAGAAATAACAAAATATGTAAATATGTATGTAAAACTTACTCTAGACAATGTCTGGAGTCTCTGGAGTGATGGAAATGATGTAAATGTCAAATTTGTAAGAGTGAAACTTTTCCATTTGGTAACAGATGTGTCATATGCAAAATGCCAATACATCTCTCGAAGGCCTGCTCTATTACAAACGAGAAAACATAATGGTGAAAAAAGAATTTGCAAATTGTGTATTATGACAGGACAAGCCAATTTGATCGATGGATCGAGAGAAGATGAAAATTGGCGAGGCCAGAGGAGTGATGTATGTACCATTTTTAAAAAGAAAGCCAGATACCTTGGAGAGCGTCGTCGCTTTGTAAGTGAGCGCATAGATTAGCAAGGTAATAAATCCAAGCTTGCATTGCTCAAGAATAAGAGTCATCCCTACCTAAAATCGGTGCTAATCGAGGGACAAAGAATCGTGTGATTTTGACGTATGCTTTTGACAGCCTTTACCTCGTCATCCTTGCTGCTTTGTATCAGAGGCCTGGTTTCAGTAAGTTTATCTAATCAAATCTAAAATCCAACTTGTAAACCTAATGCTGAGCGTTAAGATAACTAACGATTTAAAAAAAATTCAAACATTCAATGGTACACACATTTCGCAATAAATAAAAAAACACTAGTTTCATTTAAAGATCAGAAACCTTCACAAGAAAAATTCAATGTATGAGATGAACTTGGAATTGGTGGACAATGGCTTAAAAATCAGCTACTTATTAAAAACTAACTGAAATTCTGTTCAATCAGATGAATTTCAGCAACTAATTCAGCTTGAAAAAATACATTTTAATGAACTGCGAGACTAGATTTGGCGACATTGTTTTGACAATAGGGTAGTATACAAGTGATTTTTAACACATGCGTAGGGATATACTCGACGTATCGTACTATTTGGTGTAATCAGTTGCTTTGTAAAAACCGCAATAGGCTGGAATTTTGCTTTTCAAATTTTCTCTTAGCCCCGCCCCTACGTGCAAATAAAAGTTCGTGACGTAGTTAGTTTTTCCAATCTGGCAACACATCATCACGGCTTTGAGAACGCGCAATTTGCACTGACATTGACCGTCAAGAACGAAACGTCAAATTTACTACACAAAACAAAAAAAAAGTTGATGTGACAATGTCACATGTCACATGATTCACACGACACCACACGTCGTTGAACTGTTGGAGTCAGCTGTCGTTTAGAGGCGTTTAGAGCAGCGTTGTCAGATGGCGAGCGGCTCGAATACTATTGGTCGCCGGTTTGGCGCTAAATTCAAATTACAGTTTGTTTTTCTCTGACTAATTCTATAGACACTATTCTAGAAAATAATTTAGTATCTCACTATACCATCACCATTTATTTAGCCTATAGAATAATGTCGAGCAGTTTTTTTACTGATTTTCATACATCGTATACTACCCCATTTTTAAAAAAGATTCGGGCTTTTAAGTTGAAAGCCATTGTGACACCTGCGATGATGATTGCAAAATCACTTGAGACGTTGTCTAGTGTCTAGAGCCGTGTTTTTCAATCTTTCTGAATACGCGACTCCTTCACAGGCTGCAAATTTCTAGCGACCCCCTTGGGCCATGGACAGACAAAAAGTTAGAAATTTAAGTCTTTGCGATTTTTTCTATTTTCATACCTATATTCATTATTAAGACCTAAGACCTACACTCTGCTAAAAGCCGTGTGCCATTCTCTCTGCAATAAAATATATTTGCGGCTTTTCCATATCGAGGGCTTCATATCAGAAGGGCGTATGGGCTTATCTTATCAATCCGCTTGATACATCAGAAGAGCATATAGATTCGTGAACATCAGCATTCTATATCAACCCAGTTTACTTAGGCGTATGAACTAATTTTGTGAAACAGTAATATCAGAAAGGCATATGTTCATACGCCCTTATATTTCTATTTTTGTTTTTACGCCTATCGAACTGCCACTGCACTAGTTTATGCGCCCCCAGTTGTTTTTGTAAATCCCACAACACCATAACCTTATATTTTAGTAAATGTGAATATTCTTCTTGGTTCTTGATGTTTTCCAAATATTTATTTAAACATAGATAAAAATAAAGTGCACAAGCAGCCTACGAGGACCCATGCTTAATCTTTCTACGCTTAACACAAACGTTGAAACAGGTAATTTTTGAGAATAATTAATGGTCTAGGCTATTTTGATAACGATTGTTCGTGAAATTATTTAATTTTCATGATTTCAATGCATGCTACAATTGAACATGCAGCGGAATATGCAAAAATGTATTGACCAAATACTGGATAAACGTTATCAAATTGGCAGCTAAAAAAAAACCTTACAAGGTAAACACACCTGACCATACTTCATTCATAAATTACAAAAAACTGCAGCAAAAAAAAATTATTATAAAAGTTGGGACCCCTAAAGGAAATTCTTTGGCTTGGAAACAGGTTAAATGTGTTCGAGTAGAAAAATCAAAACCTACTACGCTTTTGTTTAAAAATAAATATGGGAAAGAAGAATTTCCCACTGTTATAACTACTTGTAAAGGTCGGAAAAATTCCTATAACTAAGTTTAAGTATGATAATTTATTGTCTATGTGTCAGGGCAACAATGCTGTGATCCCTCCAGAATATAATAGTTATTTATGATATAAGTGTTAAAAGTACATTTTTAAGGCACGCATGTGAAAGTTTGCAGAATGAGCGAAGCGAATTCTGCAATTCACATAAGTGCCTTAAAAATACTTTTAACACAAATATCATACAATATTTTTTCTACAAACGGCAATAAAAAGCAATAACCACTAACAAATTGGATTTTTAAATGAATAATAAATTGGAAGCATCTTTCCTACATAAAATTCTTGAATTTGACATTTGTCAAAAAATCCATACAACCAGCACCTTGTTTTACAGGTAACCAAATGTCTTGTCAGTTTCTTGAAAGTATGTCGTGGTCAGGAATGCTTTTTGCTAAAAATGCAACAAAATACAGAAGAAAAAGAGAGGTGCATCGATCCTTCGAAAAATATAGATGAGGCGGCCAATCGGGCTACCTCAGTTGTTCAAATTTCACCATTATTATCAATGTAAATAACTGAAAATACAAACTTTTTTTGACGTCCGCTCTCAAAATTTGATGTTTCACTTTTAACACTAGTGCTATAAAGACTTTATGGCACTAGTGCGATAAAGTAACATTTTTAATGCTTCGGGGCGGTGTTAAAAATTGCATTTTTAACACGTTTGTAGAAAAAGATTTTTATGTTTCTTTACCAGTGATAAATCTTTCCCATTATTTGGATAATGAAGAATCTGATGACGAGATGTCTCTTCAACAAGTCAGAGAACATCTTATGAAGAGGAAAAGGCGCAGGTATTAATTCAATTTTCCTGATGCAACAAACTTTTGTTTTGCTTCGTTAATAAAGCATAATTTTTCAATATTACGCCTTTTATTTAAATACTTTTATTGAACATTTCCCAAACATCCTAATATCATCATCAATCATATTTCTGTTGGTATTTAGCTAATGGTAAATAATGTTCCAATAAATTGTATCGTTATGGTCTTATTATATTGGCAAAAACAGCAATTTCAATAAAACTTCTGATTTTTGAGGTCTTTTTTCGATTTCCTGTAAAAATTACTTTTTGGTTTATTCGCCCTTTTGATATGATGCCCTCGATATGTTCAGAATACTGTTGAAGATAATGTAACAGACCAATAGCTTGTGGTAAGGTCTCACATGCCTTGCATGATACAGAGCTTGCCTAATTTGCAAAAGAAACTATTAATATACTTCCCAGGATTACACTCTGAAGCTGACAATGGGCGTGGATGGATACTGAATCCTTTCTTAGAAAAATCAATAGAACTGGTTGATATCACCATAAATATAAAAGAAAATGTTATAGATTTATCTGCTGACGGCATGCTTAAAATGGAATTTCATACGTAAAGTCTGTTGTTGGTGTCTTTTGGATAAACGAAAACTAGAATATTCAGGGCTGGTAAGGGAAGCTCTAAAATTATTGGTGCCATTCACCACTTTATACCTATGTGAACTGACGTTCTCAATGGTGGACAATAAAACTAAAAAGAGAAATAGACTTCAATTAGAAAATTATTTCATTATCAACATTTCTAAAATACCCCCACGATTTGACAAATTTCTGAAAAATGAACAAGCCCATCCTTTTCACTGAAATTGTGTTTTAATTGTAGTGCAGAACATTTCCTTTTTCCTTTTGCCTCCGACCCCCCGAGTAAGGCTTCGCAAGCCCCCTAAGGGTCGCGACCCACTGATTTGAAAACACTGGTGTAGATTAAGTTTTACATATTTTATACACTTATACTTTTTTGAAGTTGCTGGGCCATATATTTCATTTTGAATTCTGGATGAAGATCACCACAAAAATGTAATTGAAAAAATGAGGAAGCACGGAACCGAACTTCCGCCTTAACAGACACCTGCTCCAATGGCAAGCAGCAGCGGAACAAATGACAATGACCATTCAGTCAGTCAGATGATTATTATTTTCAAAAAAATGTTAAATTTCCTTAGACTTGGATATACTGCTCCGTCTAGAAAAGCCCTAGCTGGAGAACTTTTAGATATTATGGAATCTAAAGTGTTAAAGATATGACCTTGAAATTAAAAGGTAAATGAGCTACTTTAATACAGAACGGATGGTCAAATATCCATAACTAGCCGGTTTAGGCTAATTGCTAAATTTGATTGCAGAGTTATTTCTTTTGTCTCGGATAATAAGGCTAAAATGAAAAAAAAATAAATAAAACTTTATTAGGGACTGAAATGAGACGAGCTGGATTTTTTTTGAGCTATGAATGTGCCGCTTACTATTCAAATTTGTTGGGGGGGAGATATTTGTAAAACTGAGAATGTGTTCATTATACTCGGACATTTAACTGAATTATCAAAATATTTCAGGAACCACCACAAACCAAATGCTCTTTGCAGGCCTTTTTATACACAAATTCTGATAGAAGATGTGCAAAATAACATAGATGCAACTGTTAATATTAGATTTAACAATGTAGCACTTTTTATTCAGGTTTTAAACATTTGCACAGCCAATTTTAACATATAGCCAAAATTTTGGATTTATTACAAAAAAAAATGTGCTAATATTGCTGACGCTACATTTGCTATTATTAGTGCCCACACAAACTAACCACATTATACCTAACAATTTTAACCACCCTCAACAGCACAAATTAGCTTGATTTCACTGCTACACCCATATACTACTGAATACCCTTTTTTCAAAGGAAGATTACCACAATGAAGTCAAAATTCTCAAACAAATTGCTTACAACAACAATTAAGAGCCTGTATTGATTGACACAGTTATAATGAAGACAAAATACAAACGATTACGAAAAGAAGTTTACCACAACCCTCCAAATCTTATGGGCAAATATGTATCCTTACCACACTTTGATCCTTCAACAAACAGTAAAATATCCTTAATATTTCGCCAAAATATCAAGAATCTTAAAATATCTTATAGAACTGATAAAAGCGTTTCCTCAACTCTACAAAATGGACCACGTATCAAAAAGTAGCATCTTCAAACTAAGTTGGAACTTCTATCCCAGCACTTACATCGGTCGCATCTGCAGACCCTTTGGTACTCGTATTAACGAACATATTAGTAGATCTTCGATCAATGCCTTCCATCGTGTGAACACATTTGTGCGCTCCAGCAGTTTATTATAGTTTTTTTTCTTACTTCAAGAATAATTTGAAAGTGTAAGAGTTAAATCGAGTGAATTGAGTGCAGTGAGTTGTGTTCTGCAGGTTTTTACATTTGTTCTCTAAGTTTTCAAATCCCTATTTAATATTTTGAAAACCACAGCAAACATAGCCTGGCTGTCTGCTCATTATAGTCCTACCAGTATATAAAGTGGTACTCAACATGCCTCCGACTAGAAGCACAAGCACAAAAGAAGACTCTACAGAAGATCTAATCAACAAGGTATGTGCTAATTTTTCTGATAGGCTTGAGGCAAAGATTGATAAGAAAATTGAACAACTTACCAACTCACTAGATGTGAAAATAGACAAGATTAGCAATTCTCTGAATGTTGTAAATGATAAAACGCAAAGCAATGCCAAGAATATTAAGATTCTGGAAGAAAAGTATGATTCCGTGGACCAAAGTTTGAAAGGTAATTCGTTAAGGCTAATTGGACTGGAAGAAAGTGAAGATGAAGATTTGATAGGGAAGGTGATAGAAGTCTTTAAAAATAGCTTAAACATATTGTGTGTTCCGGAAGACTTCGACAAAGTTCATCGAGTGGGAAAGCATGCTGATAAGGAACGGGCAGTTCTTATTAAGTTTCTGAGAAGCTCAAAAAGAGATGATATTTTCAATGCTAAAAAACGTCTCAAGAACTGTAATATGGTAATCTACGAAGACTTGACCAAAATCAACTATGATTTGTTTCAATCAGCAAAAAAGAAACATGGACCTAAGAATGTTTGGTCTATGAGTGGTAAAATTTTTGCATGGAGTGAACAACAACAAAAAAAGATTTTAATAAACTAGTGGATTGCTTACTTATTTATGCACTTGGTAGAGCTATATATACATTTTCTTCTTTTTTGTACTATGGGTATGCAATAAAATGATAAAAATATTTTGTTGGTATTTATACATTGTTGAATATCTATTTTAGCTTATCATAGGAATTGTATTTTTTCTTTCTTTTGTGAAAATATGGTATTTATCACCGGAGAGTTTTTGCATGGTATACCCTATACTTTCCAAATTATTTATAATAGGTAGATGAAAATTAACAAGAAATGTTTTCTTTTATCTTTCTTGATTCAATTTATTAGTACATCTTCTTACACTATTTTTTTTATCAAATTATATACGTATTCTTAAATTTCAGCTGGAGTTAGCACAATGAAAATCGTGTATGCGAAGTGAATTTTTTTCCTTTGCACATCTAAACATACGCTCGTGCAACACTGGATTTGACCTGTTTTCAGAGTTTTTGACTGGGGAGTCACTTGATGTACTGGGTTTATCGGAGATATGGCTTAATGCATCATTTCCTGATGAGGGAGTAGGTATACCTGGTTACAGAATTGTGAGGGGTGATCGAGGTAGTCGTGGAGGCGGTGTAGCCTTTTATGTCAGAAATTCCATTAAATTTAAACTTTTGGCTCCTCCATCATGTAATAATAATTTAATTAAACACCTGTGAATATCGGTTAAAGTTGGCGGCAAAAATATTTGTCTCGGAACCTGTTATAGGCCTCCTGTAGCTAATCTTAATAGCTGTTTAGATACTTTGGAAAATACCTTAATTTCTTTTCTTCCTGAATTTGACGTTTTACTTTTTGGGGTTGACCTTAATGTTGATATGTCTCAGGTGAGTAAGGGCTCTAAGTTGGTTAACGCTCTATTTCAAAAATATAATTTGCGCCAGGTCGTCAATGAGCCTACTCGCGTTACAGAGAATACACGTACCTTGATAGACGTAATAATAACTTCCCTTGCGGATATTGTAACCAATGTCAATGTAGTGCCAATGGAGGGCATTTCAGACCATTCCTTGGTCTCTTGCTTGGTGAAAATTAAAAAGGAAAAAGTTGAGCCATTTTTTTATACTTTCCGTGATTTTTCTTTGTTTGATTTGAATTTATTTTCGGCTCAACTACAGAGAATTAATTGGGATGATATATTTACTTTAGGGGGCGTGAACGATATGGTTAGTTTTTGGAATACAAGTCTTGACAATATTTTTAATATTTTTGCACCCTTTAAAACTGTTCGAATTTCTAAGAGGCCAGCCCCATGGCTGACTGCTAATTTAAGGTTGTTAATGAACCTGAGGGATAATGCTTTGCTGAAATATAAAAAGAATAAAACGGAGGGGGCCTGGGTGCATTATAGAGAGATGAGAAACTTTGTTAATCACTCTATTAAAATGGAGAAAAGAGCTTATTTGCAGTACAAATTTAGATCAAATCCGAAAGAGTTCTGGAAAACGCTCAAATACCTAAATATTTGTAGTGCTCAGTCATCATCGTCTTTCTCAGAATGTGACCCAAATATTTTAAATGAGTATTTTATCAATAATGTTCCTAATACCTCTCAGTTGGATCCGGAGGAAAAGTCCTATATTTTGGATCGTTATAAAAATAATAACGGACCCCGCAACAATGAATTTATGTTTGATTTAGTAACAACTGAAGAAATTTTAAAAATTATTAATTCTATAAAAAGTAATGCAAAGGGTGTTGATAATCACAACTTAAAAATGCTCATGTGTCTATTTCCTTACTTAACCAAACATCTAACTCACATTGTTAATACTTGCCTTACTACAGGCACTTTTCCGGAGGGATGGAAACATGCAAATGTAATTCCCATTCCCAAAAACAAGAATCCCACTGAACTAGGTCATTTCAGGCCCATAAGTATACTGCCCACAGTGTCCAAGGTGTTGGAAAAGGTGGTCGCTCAACAAGTTAATGTATTTTTATTACGCGAAAAAGTCCTACCAGTGGTTCAATCGGGGTTTAGGCCTCATCATAGTACTTGCACTGCTCTTTTGAAAGTATCAGATGATATTTTTACAGCAACTGATAAGGGCTTGAACACCTGCTTAGTGCTGCTTGACTTTAGTAAGGCCTTTGATACATTAGACCACGACCTACTTTGTGATAAGTTGTATTATTTTGGTATGTCAAATCTAGCAGTATTGTTCTTTAGAAATTACTTGAAGGAAAGGAAACAGAGAGTTACCTTTAAAGGAAATGTTTCTGAGTTTTCATTGATAAACAAGGGTGTTCCCCAGGGAAGCATCTTGGGACCTTTGCTGTATTTAATTTATACTTCTGATTTTTATAGCTATTTAAGCTACAGCAATATTCACTTATATGCTGATGATTCTCAAATCTACTTATCGTTTTCCCTGTCTGAATCTGAAAATGCGGCGTTAAAAATGAATGAAGACCTGCGCATGATTTATAAAGTTTCAAGAGCTCACTCACTTTCACTTAATGAATCTAAGACGGAGGTTCTATTGTTTGGTAAAAATAGTAACGTTCTGCAGGAGAATGGTTTATTTGTTCTTAATCTGAATGGTAATAATCTTCATTTCACAAATAGCTGTCGTAATTTGGGCATATACTTTGACACTAACTTACGATTCTCAAGTCATGTTAGTCATTTACTACAAAAATCATATTCTAAACTAAAATTACTATATATGCACAAAGATATTCTCACTACTGAGATTAAACTAAGACTATGCGATTCTCTTATTTTATCTTTTATTACATATTGTAATGTGGTCTATTGGCCGGCTTTGCGTCAACAAGAACAATATTCATTACAAAAACTTCAAAATGCCTGTATACGTTTTTCATACAATTTGCGTAAATTTGACCACATTTCAGACTGTTTTAGAGATTCTCATTGGCTAAATTTGGACGAACGGTTCCAGGTACATATGGCTTGTTTGGTATACAAAATTAATCAAACAGAACTGCCCTCATATCTCTTTCAAAAATTATCAAAGAGGAATGATATACATGACCGTATTATGAGATCGTCGTCTCGTTACAGTGTCCCCAGGCATTATACGGCTCTATTTAGAC